ATGTTTCTAGATCTTTATGTAATAAAACTGCCTGATCAGCAAATTTTATAATCTGTATAATGTTAGCTGTATACAAGAGACCTACTTCATTGAAATATGATAAGCTTATTATTATATAGTGTTTGTTTATAAACTTCTGGGATAAATAATTAACTGGATAATTAACATTCATTTTATTTTTATATGCTGAAAAAAAAAAACACACATTAATTGCATTTGTGAAAAAAAATGATAAACTTGACCAGACCTATTAATGAGAGAGTTTAATATCCACTTGATATAGGGGGGTTGGAAGGCCGAATGGTTAGTGTGTGCGCGTTGTATCCTAAGGTATGTCATTGAGTCAACGGGCGTGGTTTCGATTCCCCGTTTGTACATAAGTAGGGTCGCCTGTCCAACCTCATGGGTTCTCTGGGTCCTCCGGTTTCCACCCACTACTAAAGAGCCCTATGCACAAGCGAATTATTGAAATAAAATTGAACCATATGTTAGTCCCGAAATGACCTAGTTTGTCTTGAGTGGACGTTCAACCCCATTTCTCTCTCTCCCCCACTTAATATAAACTATGTCATTTTAGGACTAACATATGATACAGTTTTAATTCAATATTTCGTTTGCGTGTAGGAATCTAGCACTGGGGGGGGGGGGGGGGGGAACTGGATGACTCTGAGAAAACCCATGAGCTTAGACAGGTGACCCTAGTCCTTGTCACCTTCCAGTGTGGGATCGAAACCTCGCCACTTTACTCAATATGACATACCTTGTGATCTAAAGGCCACCCAACACACCAGCACCCACCTCACTAGTGTTGAGTTTTAGATGTCAATCATTGTGGAAAACTAGTGATTCATGAGATAATAGTGACACTAGTGTAAGGCTGTATTAAAGTCTCCAACTCAATATCATCAAAATTCTTCGACACTCGAAACACGAATTTTTTGTCAATTTAAATCAACATTGATGTTGTGATCTCACCGGGAAATGATGGGCTTCTGACATCCAATATTTAAGACAAAATAAACAGTTTACCATTGGTACACGAATCAGGTACCATAATGCGTTTCAGCACCATTTGTAACAAGGGACTCGAAGAACGAGGCTAGAGGTATTCGACAAGTCATGTCAAACAGTGACGTCATATTCTTTTCTGGAGAGCATGCCCAATAAATATTATCGGTGTAGACGGCAATAACTAGACGCTAGAGACTGCCGTTCGGTTGAGACTTCTGGTGTATTTCGCCGAATGTAACTGATTTGAAATTAGAGTAAAAACGGTAACGATTGAATGTAAATCAGTTTATATACATTCATATTACATTATTATATGCGTTGCGACCCATTTGTGTCAATTTCTAGGTCCCAAATATTAGGGATTTAGATCCTTTAACATAGAGCTAGAAATGGAATAAAACCGGATGTAACATCCTACTTTTCTGCACCGACTGGGCTAAAGAAGGCGGGTTGTAGAGCTAGAAATCAGATAAATTGGGTTTAAGTTATACTTTTTTGCACTGAGTGGGCTAAGGAAGGAAGGTTGTAAAGCTGGAAATTAAATAGATAGGATTTTAAATCATACTTTTCTGCACAGACTGGGCTAATGAAGACAGGTTGTAGAGCTGGAAATTATATAACATGAGTTTTAAGTCCAACTTTTCTGCACAGACTGGGCTTAACGAAGGCAGGTTGTAGGGCTAGAAATCAGATAAAATGGGGTTCAAGTCCAACTTTTCTGCACAGACCCAACAGACCCAATGGACTGGGCTAATAAAGACATCTTGTATAGCTAGGAATAACCTCAGAGGTTCATATAAACAATATATTATAATACAAACCATTAGGGTTCCTCTATATATAGTATGTTAATGAAAGATATGTGTTGAAGAAACATGTAATCGTGATGTAATACTAACGTAATAATTACATAATAAGTACAACATGTTACGTTATTGTTCTTATGTCAAGAAGAGCAATCACGCTTGTATGTCTAACATTTTGTTTTCTCCAACAAAACAATGTTTTTTTCTCCCGTCTGCTTTGATCTAAACAAACGTGTGTAGACCAGAACTGACGGAAAACTTCATTCTTTCCCTCCAATGACTTGTCAGGAATCTGAAATGTTTGGGAACTACCCTTGATTCGCAATGACGTCGAGAATTCCCCGGCGCAACTGAATTCTTGGTCGCTTTTGATCCTTATTTCGAACAGGCGTGTATTATTGTAGTTTGTGTGTTCACTTAACAAAGTGTAGGACAACGACAACGTTAGACCAACGTTATAAAAACCTCCCTTGTACCACATGTGTTGGCATAGAAACTCTTGATAATATTTCCTTCAATAGTTAAACTATTTAATTTATTGACAAAAATACATTCATATAATTACTAGAAAACTAAACAATGCCAGATTTCAAATATAAAAAATCTTTACATTTTATTATCGGATTCTGATTTTAAACAAACTTTTTTTTTTATTATAAATTTAAAGCTACTGAATGTCATTTGAGGGTTCTTGAATCCCTTGTAAATTACAGTATTACCAAAGGAATATCAGTCTAAAAATGGCTCAATTTCGTATTTACAAAGATATTGGCGATAGAATCAAGACAGCACCATCTATCTTGGGAAAAGTCTTGTATCTGAGATTATCTGCCTGTAAAAGTTTGGTTTTGTTTTCTAGATTTATGTTAATTAATCAACTTGAGTACCAACATTTTAGTGTGAAAAATACTTGCTGGAAAATGAACACTCGTAATAGGCAACTTTAAAAAGACAAACTTTGAAGTAAAAAATGACTTATATTTGGGAACAGTTTACAAATAGAAATTTTGCCAGTTGGTGTTAGAAAGTGTTTTGTCAGTAGTAAAAATCATGTTGCCAAGATGTGAATTATAACATTGTTTGTTTATACTGGAAGTCAACTAGTTGAGTAATAAAGCCAAGTTTTCATGTCAAGAGTTAGACAACATGCTGGTTAGATTTCTACATTGATAGGTTAAACAGGTTCTTCTGGCAGTGGTTTATGAACTATTTAATTATAATCACATTTATTATATAATACTGTGTGGTATTAAACCACCTAGGATCCAAACCACCGTAATTAGGTGCTAGTTTTCTTTGATAATAGAAATTTTGGACACATGTTTTGATAAAATTGTCCTTGGGCATTGCAACTATGGGATCTTTCTTGGTAATTTTGTGTTTATTGTGTATTTTTGTCATTTCGGACAGCACCTAAAACCTGGTTTCTTTCTTTTTGGTTGTTGTCGTGCTTCACTTCTTGTTAGTTATTCTAGAATGGACAGAGGGGAGAACCAAGATGTGATACTAATACTATTCAAATTTTTCCTTGATTTATTGTCTTCCAAATTTTGATTGCTTTTTATAGAATTATTTTATCTGTTTACATTTTGATTTTTATACACCCACATTGAAATATGGTTGAATATTGTTGTCACTCAAGTTCATCAGTCTAATGTCCATAATTGATAAATTTGAAAAATCTTGTGGATGCTCTATGGAAAAAAGTTGTCATCCAATTGACTTGAATTTAATAGCGTGTTTATTAAATGAAAAAGCTGATAATTACTTTTGGAGTTATTGGCTATTGGCCCATGAGAACTTTCTGACCCTCTCGCTAGTGGCTTAAAGGGCAGGGCGTATGGCTCTATTTTTTGGAACCTTGAAATAGACAAAAATGGTTCTAAAAGCACAATTAATCTAATATGAATGTATGTAAAGTGATTTATTTTCAATTTTTAAAAAAGATATTGTAATTTTTGATCAATTATGTTGGGTGAAATATGTGAACAGTTCAAATTGAGCAGCAGTCGTTTATGCCTGCTTCGTGCATTCTACATGTTTTTTAAATTATTATTTTGTCGTTTGTGAATCAGCCTTTACTAATTACTTCCACATTGTGTTGTAGGTATGTTTTTATTTGTTCATTACAAAATGGCACCTGAAACCATAGGGTACACGACTTGTGTACTGATTATAAAATGTTAATTGCATCTTAAATATTGGATATTAGGATCCTATAGTTTCACGGCAAGATAACAACATCAATATTGATTGAAATTGATCAATATTGAATTTTAATTTGTGTTTTTAATTTCAAATATTATGGAAAATATTGAGTTAGAGACTTAGCTCCTTTAAATTATTAGCATATCAGATAATTACTTCATGAGTTGCTACTCCAGATCAGATGTTAGTGTCTTTTAAATGCCCCTCAATACCTACAAAATAATAATTAATGGCTCAGACTACTTAGCTGCCATGGGCATATGTTTCATTGCCTGACAACTTATCTTTATAGTAACTCTTCTGGATTTGTTGAACACGGACAACTTTGCTGCAGGGGATCGTAATAGTGGGCATAACAATCCCACATCAATATTTCTTTTAAATTACTACTTCTATTATCGATTGAGTGACGTCTTGCTAATTTTAACAGACATTACATAATTTTATGTTATCAACTGTTAATTATTAAATTTTGTTACCTTTAGTGTGTATTGAAATTAATTTTACTGTAAATTTAATAAATTAACTTTTTTTCCATGCTTTAATGAATTGTTTTACAAAAAAAACACAAATTAATTGTGTTACAACACAAATCTTAATTAATTGTTTTACAGCACAAACCTTGATTTATTGTTTCGCAACACAACCCTTAATTGATGTGTTTATAACAATGTAACCTTAATTAAATGTGTTTTACAACCCAAACCTTAATTAATTGTTTTACAACACAAATCATAATTTAATTGATTAGTTTACAATGCAAACCTTAATTATTTTGCAAAAAGTTGAATTTGCAACACAAACCATAATTATTTATTTTTCAACAATGCAACCCTTAATTAATTGTTTTACAACACCATAATCCTTAGAGTTTTACAGAACTACACCTATCTGAAAGGGATGTTGTTTAGCAGTATGTGAAATAATACTTTTTATCTTTTTTAATCTAAATATTCTACATTTTTCCATTTTCAGACGTTGTCAACCATGATTTGAAGTCTACGCTTCGTGTTCTATACAATATATTTACAAAATACAAAGGAGTAGTTCCAGTGTCTGTATCTGCCTAAGATACTCAAGATTCATGGATCATATAAAAATAGCCCAGCATTATACATGGAGGACATTGCATATTTAATATTGTTCTATGAATATGAAATATATAATATATATTGTAAACAGCTATTTATTGGTTTGAATATCTGTATAGGAGACAGAAGAGAAAGAAATCTCATGAACTTTTAAACACAGGAATTAATTCTTTAGTATTTCACGGGTAGTATTTCAGTTGTCAGACGATGCATTTGCTAATTATATACTTTAGAGAATGTTTTCAATCCTGTGCCTTGACAATAATTAATCTAAATGATAAGATGCAAGGTTTGTTTAAATTTTCTCTGAAAGATGGTAAAATATTGGCATTTTTATTTTGGACAAATTGATGCCACAGTGCCCTGTATATATTATTTTTCTTAATGGTGCTATTATTTATTTTGTTTTATTAGATTTTTTTCTTGTTGCAAATCTTTGTAATTGAAAATATACATTTTCATTTCATTACCAATTTGAATGTCTGTTCTTCAGAAACACTTGTGTCTTGTGTCAAAACCATTTACTTCCAAATTTGAAACAAAATATTATTAATGCAACACTGGTGGCTATTTATTAAGTTTTAAGAGAGAAAAGTGGGGTTTTTAAAGTTTGGTTGACACAAACTAGCTCATTAGCAGTGGGAGGACCCGGGAAAACCCACGAGGTTGTCACGTACAAGTGGCGAATCGAAACCACACCATTCGACTCAATGACAGACCTTCTGATCCCGTGCACAGGCGTTAAAACCATTCAGCCACGCGACCCCCGCAAGTCCTAAAGAACTAAACATTCAATTGGTTTGGCCTATGTTTTAGATGTGTGTATTTACAGTTTAATTCATAAGTCCACCTGGTCAAAAATTCTGCCATGTTATTTTTTAGAAAAAAGCATTGTACATCACAAATCGAACTTTCAAATCGAATTGACATTTTTGATTTGTTATTTAAATTATTTCAAAATTTATTTTTAAAAGAAATATTGTATCAAATTGAGTAGTCATTTTTGAGTTGTTAATTAAATTATTTCAAAGTTTATATATGAAAGAAGTATTGTGTTCTACTGTGGGATACACAATAATACTCTTTATGTATACAATATGTATAAAATTTATTATTAATTATTCATTATTATCTCTATAAAACCATAGTAACCATTGTCATCTTGTACATTTCAATTAATAGTATAGAAATTATGCATGGTTTGTTTTGATTAAATAAACAAGTAGAATAGAAAGTAGATGAAAATTATGGTAAAAATTGAGTATGTAGATATTTATTTATTTCATAAGAGGATAATTTAACACTGTGTCACAGATTAAGAGACCGTCTCGTAAAATTTCAACACTTGCATCCAAACAAATATACCTTGCGGAATTGGGTGGGTGATTTGAACGACGCCACGGATAGAATATGATAAATTAAATGTCAGTTATTTTTTAATCATGAACGGAAATATGTCAGTATTTTCTTACTCTGTTGACATGAATGGGCAGGTATCAAGATTTAGTGTTGAAATTTTACAACAGTCCCTAAACCATCATGAACATTTGATACTGTTTGTAAAGTATTCATAGTGAAACGGTTAGATTTATTGATTGCTATGGATAGAATGTTATTCCTTATATAACATGGTGCATTATCATAGGTGTGTCAGGTGTATAGACAGGGAGGGGTATAGCCCTATCAAATGTGTTCTAAGATGTTTTTGGGGGGGCAAAATAGACACAAATAAGCTATTTACAGATCATAACCAGGCAAATCAGAGACATCCAGTCAATCGTTTTACAGCACCTGTGACATATTAAGAGTCCTGCACACATAGATGTTGATTAAATCTACACGATTGTTTTGTAAACTGGAATTGTTACTGTATATTATATATAACTCAAATCAGTTATTTCTATTATGAGCCAATCTTCACTTGGCTGAAATATGACTTTATATAAGTCTTTGGTATTACTTGCACAATTTCAACTGAACTGCTCCCTCCTTACAAGAAATTGTAGAAAAACGTTCAGCCAAAATGTAGCTAAGATCAAAGCATAGATAATACTATGCTTTGGGTTTTCAAGAAAGATAATTGTGTATTGATATAAAATTATAATATATTCATTAATGTCTGATTAGATGTTAGAGAGTTATTGATTAATAATAAATACATTGAGCCAAAATGTAGCTAGAGTCAAAGCATAGCTCATATTGTTCTTTGGGTTTTCATGAAAGATAATTATGAATCTTGATATAAAATTAGATATTAGAGAGTCACTGGTTATTAATAGTTATGTTTTTATGTAGTTATTTATATATGCTTTTGTATCATCTATATTATTAATACAATTTTTATATAATTTTTGTTATATGGTTGTTGACTTTTTTTCTCATTTTCAAGAGTCTCAAAAGATAGAAAGAAAGTTCCCCAAGATTCAGTATAGAACAAGATTAAGTTGGATCCATTACCCACTTTTCTATCCAGCTATCCACTGAACATGTTAGTCCCAACATTACCGAGTTTGTGTCATGTGGAGTTAAACACTATTTGTCTGTCCCTCTTGATTTTCCGGCGTGGTTCCCCTTGTCAGCGATGCAGGATGGGAGGGCCTTACAAGAACAGCTGTCTAGTCATTCAGATGGGGCGAAAAACCGAGGTAACGTGTACACATTGGCGTGCACGTTAAAGATCTCTTGGCAGTTGGAAATAGATATAAGAGTAGGCCCTAGCGCCGCTGCCCGGGCAAAATTTCTTTCATAGCACACCGTATGGCATATGCCCGTCTTCATTAGCCCAGGTTAGGAGCAGAACAGTAGGACGTTAAACCCTATTTCATTTAATTTCTCTCCCTCTTGGTTTAAATTGTATAGAAATAATATATATTTGTATGCAGTAAATGAAATGGAGTTTAACCTCCTTCTTTTCTGCACTGACTGGACTAATGAAGACTGAGTATGCAGTTAAAGTTTATCTTTAAGACCTGACTTGCAGTCTATGGCTCCAATGAGATAACTTTATCTGCAATATTCACCCATATAACATGCACTGCTAAAACAATAAACAAAGTTATAGGGGATTTTATTTATTATAGCCAAGTAACTGCCAAGAGATCCAAAACCTAGGATTAATATCTGAACCCTGACCCCAGGCTGTGCGAATATCATTTATTTACTGAGAGATTAAGTTGTGTGTATCTTGTCCTTGATAAAACAATAAGCAAACAATCAATCCTCACTATTACTATGAAATAATATTTACATTAACCAAAATAGGTTCACTTTCTCATAAAGCTAAACCATTGCAACACTACCAGCAACAAAACGCAGGAGGAGAAAGGAACAGCAACTTTTCGGTTTTACAAAACAATTTGTTTTTGTTACCTGTGTGTGGAAATGATTTATTTGAACTTTAAATTGAAGGAAGGTCGACTAGGGAGACTCTATTGCATCCTCAAGGCAGAAAAATGCTTTAAATGCAGTCCATCCTTTTGTAGATGGATGCCTGCGCCGAGGATCAAAGCCTTAAACCCACAATAAATATTTGCTGATCGATAGGACAGGTAACATTGGTGTGTCCATCTCCTCTGGGTCTCGAATACGGTACAAGGCTTTATTATACCAAAACCGTTTCGATCGTGCACAAGTCTGTGTTAGTATGTGTGTTCAGACGCTAGTGTTTCCAGTCATCGATCTCTAACCTGTCCGGCATTTTTGACAACTCAGTGACGGAAATCTTTTGTTGTCCAGGGTAAACAAAACTGCTGATACAAGTCTTTTGGTCACGCCGTGTTCATAAGTCGCCCGGGAAACCCGGCACGCGGGAAAACCCGCCATATGAAGCCATAGTTGACGTGAAGTGCACTAAGCCACACAAGAAATGATAGAGAACGTGCCTAAATTCGAACTTCTTAGAATAGCTTTTTGATTCAAGGGTGTTGGATTATACAATCTATTATTTTACTGATTAGCCGTACGTGTGTCAGTCATGCCTTCAAGTAGTTTGACATCTAAACGCCTCAAGGTCAAATCGTTTAAATGGATGACCATCTCTAACTAATAAATCAAATACGTCACAAAACATTTAATTAAGATGGAAAATCTGGACATAATGCGAAACTTCAAAAGATACATCATGAAGAGGTTTGCATTGTGGTATTTAATTTTATTTTTTTAAAAAAAAAAACAACTGTTAAATTCTTTTCTGCATCCAACACCATGCGCAATTGAATCACCTTCTGGGATTTGAAATACTCGTAAAATTGAACCATAAGACGTCGCCCCCCCCCCCACTCTCTCTCTCTCTCTCTCTCTCTCTCTCTCTCGCTTTAAAACTAAAAGGAGATACCAAAAAGCCTCGAGATCCATGTTTGAAACTGTCTTTTTTATCATCATCCACCTCAAAATAATCTACCGTTGCATTGAATTTGATTAATTCCCCACACAACATAAACATACAAACTAAGGATTTTCTCAGTCGTATCCAAATTACTATTTGGAAGTTTCAGAAAAATTACCTGGTGACATTGAGAATGATTTATAACCGGAAAGGGTCGCCATTTTGTGAACTTGAAAAATTGACATATAACTTTAAGTTATCTTTAATAATGTATAAGCAACAACTGTACTCAATCATATAAATCAGGTGCCAAAGATGTTCGATTCTTTGTTCATATACAGGTACATGTACTACATTGACACACGGCTAAATCTATTTCTTAAGGCCAGTTCAATTTTTCGTCAAGGTCGCTAAGATATAAATAAGGTTAGGGCACGTGATTGTTAGCGAGATTGTAGGTTAGGGCTAGGTTAAGCGTCAGGGCTAGGTCCAGGGTAAGGGTTAGGGTTGGGATTAGCGCTAGCCCTGTTTACACCTAGTGACCTTTTACCTAACTTGAAGTTGGCCTTTTCAAATAGATCTAACCATATACATTGACACACCTGGGATGGCTAAATCTTTTTGTCAAGGCCAGCTCAATTTTCGTCAAGGTCTCTGCGATGTAAATAAGGTTAGGGCACGTGATTGTTGGCGAGATTGTAGGTTAGGTTTAGGGTAAGCATTAGGGCTAGGTCCAGGGGTGGGGTGAGATTTGCGATTAGGGCTAGCCGTGCTTACATCTCTTGAATTTTGACCAAACTTGAAGTTGGGCCTTTTCAAACAGATCTAACCCACCTGGGATCGACATGGTTATGTAAATATCAAAATAAATAAACGAAACAAAATTGTTATCCAATTTTAATTTAGACATAGATCGCAACTATGATAGAAGCTTCATTTGGTATTTTAGATTGACGGACGAGCAGACACATAATAAGAATAGTTATAGAATTTCAGTTCTGTGTAGGCCTATATTGGCGCCAGTATTAATTAATATTAGAGATATACTGATATTTAATATTAGAAGCATTCCTTTTAATTTCCAACTGCATTTAGATTGATTATATATGGTATTTATAAATCTTCGATTACAGGTATAGGTGTATTCATTGTCTTTTAAGTCGGATAAACTTATTTAATCGCCATAGAAATATAAACACGATTTCATGTTGGATATTTTCTTGAATAGATATAATTAATTACATGTATATTTTTGACTGAGATAATGAAACGTGTGTTAAATCTGCAAAATTAATCAATTTTTGTATTATTTTGATTAAAATAGAGTTCTTTTTAGTTCAACAGTGTTGCATTAAATGAGAAATCTTTTTTGAACACACGGTGAGTTATAAATCGGGCGCCAAATTGTCAGTGTTTGTATTAAACAAATTGCCATGACTATAGTTATAATATTTTTAAATGGCATTTAGTAACTGGGTAGATAAATAAACTATAATACATACTAATAGAAACAGCTTTCCATACGTATGTGTTATAGTTTATGTGTAGTTATAATATTAGGGATTAAAAATATAAAGGTGTTTTAAGGGAGAAATTGTTCACTATGATTATTGATGTTTACTGAAGGAGTTAGCGAATGAGATTCGGTTAAGAACAACCTTGTTTCTTGCGAAGATAAAATCTCAGAGGGCTACCGTGATAATTAAATGATTAGCATTATCACTCATTGATTACGTCAAGTTTCATATTGGCACCCTGCCGATACATTATCCTCCCCAGAGGAAACCCTGGCTTCGTTTAACTCCCTGAGGCCACTATCACCGAATTATGTGGTCGAGTTATTTTTCTATCTTCGACAAGCTGTCCTTTGATCTGGATATTATTCAAAATCGTTGAAATATTTTGACGTCTTCTTCCGTCTTTTTAAACATCAGAAGAGAAATGTTTATGTTGATTACGTCACGGGGCAAACCCCAGTTAGAATTATGTTATCAAACATAAAGGCCAATATCAGTACATTGATGATGAAGACATCGTCTGTTCATCCAGTCAGTTTAAGTTTGCATTTGATTACGTAATTTCTTTCAGTGAACTGTGAAGTTATTTATTAAGCTAATCTACTTACAAAAAGAAGAGGAAAATTAAAATACGCCTATACAGAAACATTAAATTGTTCAATCCGAAGTTGTACACACGTACATACATTTCTATAAAATATTTACAGAGTAGATTGGAAACTTCGGAAGAGAAAACGTATATATTCCATCAAAACCATTATTCTAGTTCTACGGATCTTCTTGTATTATTTTATACTTATCCTAGTTCAGATTGGCAATGTGATTTCACAAATAACGCCACTGCTCTGCAGCAAGAGGCTTACCTGGCTATTGCAAACTTCAAACGGGTTGTTAGGCGAAGTATCAAAATATGAATGGAATGATATATGATTTAAAATCTCGTCAACATAATAAAGAGAGGGGGGGGGGGCAACAGTAGCGTTTCTTCCTAATCTTGTTCGATTACCAACGACCAAGGGTGGACCTGAATTTTTCGCCCACCTTAAAGACTAGACCGCTTTTTTTTGTACTCGTGTATCTATGGTAAATTAAATAAACGTTAATTCTTATGAGTATATTCAAAAAGTAGCCAAAGGATTGTATTAATTCAACTCATTATTGATAATAGAATTAAAATACAATTACAAAATGTACACTTCATGATACAAACATACATACAGCCGGATTAACCAATATGGGGGTCCTGGGGATTTGAGAATGTGGGGCCCCCAACCTAACACAAGTGACCAGAACTTAGGCAGTATTATTTCACACACATGAATGTAACTACATCAAACCTATAATTTGAAGTTCAATGATAAATAAGGGGGGACCTTTATAGTCATATCCGCGAAGGCCGTAACGTTACGACATAGTAATCGACCGCAGTTGATTTTTTGATGGAACCAAAACACGAAATATCGTAAGTAATGTCTATACAGAAATTACACATACACGCCAAATTATCAAATAATTATAGTTTAGGGGCTAAAAGAAAAATCGAAGAATACGAGTCCAGAAATCAACGTTCACCGGCAACAAACTTACTTTGATTCCACCTCCTAGTAGCACATTGCTGCTGAAGAGGACTTTAATGCGTTTTCTCTATACACTTTTACCGCTGAATAACAAGACCCCCCCCCCCCCCAAAAAAAAACCCCACACAAATGCCAGTCGAAAGTACGACGCGGCATCGCCGGATTACACCGAATTCTCGGATGTCAAACGGAACACGAGCCCACAATGGATGGAAGGGGAGGGCCCACCTCTAGCCCACAATGGATGGAAGGGGAGGGCCCACCTCTTCCAATAGCAGATGTAGTCCTCGGTCCCACAATGCTCACATCGTTTTTTTTTCGCAACTGAGATTTTTTTGTGGGGTAGGGGGTCTGATGTCGGAGGGCTGGGCCCCACAATGCCCCGTTGTTAATCCGGCTCTGCATACATGTAGCCTGGAGCGCACTAAGGCTCGGACAGCCGAACGTGGTCCGATGGCGCAGAGGGGTCTGGGGGCCATTGGTACTGACTGGAAAAGAAATGGACATATAATGTTTTCAAAATAAATCATGCACTGAAAATTATAACGGTCTAAATCCGAGGAGAAAAAATATCTGTAAGTGGGGCGGGGGAAAGTAGAATCTATAGCTACTTTTGTTTTTTCGTCATGTCACGCATTCTTCACCGAAATGGGAGTCCGAGGAAACGCAATTTAATCCGAGGACCCAGGGTTATTAAGTACGCCCCTGCATGTAGCAGTAGATAATATAACTATCTATATAGTTACATTATTTTGCGATAGTCAGCAATAAATTTCATTAACGGACTTATATATATTAGTGAATGATAGTGATAATACTAATTGTTTTACGCTAATCAATGAGGAACAAGATAGAACTTGTTCCAAACAATACATTATATTTAATCTTCGGTCTGTGTATATAATGTACTTATTATTAGGGGTATTATAATCAGTATTGTCTAGTGTGAATGAAATAGGGTTTAACGCCCTACTTGTACTTGTCTGTCCCAACCGGGTAACGGAGACTGGCATACATGCCATACAGTGTGCTATGAGGGGAAGTTTGCCAGGACAGCAATCGCATTCCAACTGTCTTGGGTTCTTTCATACACGTGAACGCCTCGGTTTTACGTACCACCCGAATAACTAGTTACACTTACTGTTCCGTGTCAGGTACTTCGTCCTGCACCACTGACAACGACCAAATCTCGACGATAGAACCCTTGACCAACTGGTTACTGAGCCAGCGCTTTGGACACTGGGCCACTCATAGCCTAAAACAAATTGCCATTAATGACCAACAGCGTTGCACGGGACGTATAGTATGTTTGTGAATGAGATTTTTTTTGTAGAGAATATCTTTATGAATGACACACCCCCATATACGTGAAAAGTTGTAATTTTATTACATGGAAAATAATTATGCGAAAGTTATTTTTATGTACTATGCAATTTCTTGTGCCATATTTCATTGTTTTCATAGATTATTGCATCAGGAAGTGACTTCCGATGTCAGAGCTGGATAAAAAAAAAGGGTTTAAAAAAAAAATAAATCACCGTTTTATAATTATATCATTATGTATACCGCACGAATATAAATCATGTCTCAAATTAAGCTTATAGCGTTAATTTTATATCTAACTGCTTTGATGTAACGTCATTTTTGTTTGACAGAAACGCCATCATGTGGGAATCATATTATTTCATGTCGTGGCAACGTAGTGTATAAATTTTGTACGTCAAATCCTTTTAGTTCATGACAGCTGACGAATGGCACAACGTATGACATGACGTTTACGTCATCAGAGTTGGCATATACATTTAAATTTCCTTTATTCCCTAAAAATTCAATACGCATACATCAAATCTTCAAAATAACAATAAACATTTTATTATCTTCTAAAATCAAAAGTATATAAACATTGATAAATAAATACAGAAAACTTATACGTCGAATTCATATGCCTACACAATATGCAAATATTAAAAAAAAAAAAAACAGAATTCAAATTTGATAAGAAATGTTTATTCCACGTATATATACATATCTCGATTTTTTTTTTTTAAAAAAAACCCCACAAAATTCAAATTTTATCTCAAATGTTTATTACTCGTATAATATATATATATATTTAAACAACCTTGACAATTAGCATTTTATTTATTTCATACGGATGTCATGAACCTGATTTCATATACGATCATCAACAAATATGATATTACGTTGTTAGTGCTATATACTAATAAACTATATGACGACCGATCCTATATTGGCACACATACATGTATGTCAAAAACATTAAAGCTTTTCTAGAAAACAAACGTCAAAATAAATCAAACTGACATTTGCGTTATATTTTTACGCTTCCTGGAAAAACGCCTGGATACTTCCTCTCTAGCTTATTTTTCTCTGTACAATAAATTTCCGATCATTACAGAAATTAATCCGTAATTTTAGGCCATTATATAATTTTTCTTTGATAAATGTTTTAATTATTGTTATCTCTTTCCAGTATAATTTTGTGAAAAGTCATTTTTGGTGAAAATTAAACAAATTAGTTCTATTAAATGACCACGTTTGTTGATCTTACAACTACCATGCTTACATAATTTAAATATTGATTTATAATGTGTGATTTAATGACCCCTACTGCACCTATTGACCAATAGGTTTATGATGCAAGGTGTGATAGATATATCGCTTATTTAATAGAACTCGCTATTCGTTATGTTCCGTTATTTGACAGTAGAGGCTTTTATGGGTAACAATGTCGTCCAGTCTGAATCAGTGAATGCCGTGTACAAGTAAACAATCGGTACTAATATTATATTCAGTTTAAAAAAAGTTTTGTTAAATTAAAATTTGAAATAAAAATTGATATCTAAAAGCGGGCACGTTTCATTTTTCTAAGAAGCCCAGAAAAGATTTATCATAAAAAGGCCTGCCTGATCTAGACTACACAGCTGATTACGTTGTTTTTACTGCGACGTAACCAAACTGACACGGGGTGCACGAGACACGCTCTAGTAATTACAGTACAATAAACCATTGTATGAGGTTGTTCGTGGTTTCTCAGGCCGCCCCATACTGTGGTGTGCTGCAATAAGTGTTAGATAGCTGTCAAAACACCTGGCTTCATTTTTCATTCCGTCAGACCGATCACTTCAGGAGAGGAGTTGAAATTACACTAATTACCTTTCTTGATTGATTAATTAATCAGAACAAATTTAATTACCGCCTCCGTAAAACTAACACTTGCAGCTTCAATCTTTTCACCTCACTTAATTAGCATTTGCCTTAAATTTATGATAGGCCTATATCTGACCAAATATTTTTTTAAATTTTTTTTAAGAACATATTTTGTTAAAAAATGGTTGTTTTAAACAATCAAAATAATTTAATAATCTTGATAGAGGATACTCGAAATTAAACATGATACTATTTTTTTTTTAACTGGAAATTAAACCAAGCAATTATTGTTCAATTAAAATAGAAAAGAGTCCAGAATAAAATACTAGATTTCAACTTTCTAAGAACATTTAGACAAATTAAAACACGTGTTTTAAAATTAAGTTTTGAGAAGGAAGGCCTTCAGTTGATGTTGATAAATTTAACATTATTGTTTGAAGGCATTTGGGTACAAAAATAACCCGATTTTGGATAATTCCACCCAATTATAGAATTAACCTTAGGATTAACTATTAAGACAATGCGTCATTGTTAGAAAAAGAACTTTTCGGAGCTTTGTTGAAAATGAGTCATGACTTGTCATCGTAGAGAGAACCTTCAAAACGCTAAAACAAAAATCATGACCACTGCACGTTTACAATAGGGAGGAGAAAGTAACAGCCACTAAAAACAATGAATTTATTTTAACTTTACTTCTATATGGATCTTGCAAACCGCGTGATCTGTGCCGCACCGAAAATCAATTTTGCACAGTTTCTGTCCTATTTGCGTTTTGTCACAATCGTTATTATTTTGTTAGATTTGAAAGTGGATTAAAGTTTGTTGTGATGCTATTCTCGACTTGCTGACGATTTGGTACACCCCTGCGCGAACTCGATGCGCAGTTGGTCACTACGTTGTCTGGATTCTTTGTGCCATACCTAGCATACCTTCATCCGAGTTCTCCAACTCTTAAATTTTGTTAGATTTAGTTCAGAGTTGTTTAAAGTTCATCTTCACATCAAGAATAGTCAGGGTAAGCCATTTTTAGTCATAATTTTTCTTTAAAATGTCTTATAAATGAGAAATAAGCTCGGGTATGATCGAAATGTCCGTGCGATCTTCGAATCTCTCAAATTTTTGTCATTCTTTTAGTAAGGACTTCCGGAAAATAGCTGACGTTTCGGAGTGTTGTGGAATCGCCGATCATACAACAATATGAATCGGAATATCATATCTTGTGTTTTCAAAAGAGAGGATTATACTTATTCAAGAAATAAGTTAGCGAGGGCTGACCTAGATTTGGAAATACAAGCAAGGCATGATGGCAAAGCTGAGCAAATCTGCCCGGTTGAAACGAGCTGGGAGTGGGAAAACAACACATAGCTTGTAGCCAGCAGTCTATGGAGGCTATGGGTATGACGTGCAATACTCGTGTTGGCTTTCACTGGCTGGTGTGGAAATATATGACCCAAAATTCGACCAGACAGTTCTGTGAACAGGAATGGATATTCTCAAGTCATTAAATGGTGATGGAATTATGAACGATTGTGTTGTCATTATTCGTAAATGAAGGAATATTATCAGACTATGAAACCGACTGATTTGTTAATATTTGACAGTGAGTTTTAACAATAGAATGACAGGTGCTGTGGAAATCAGAAATAGTTTTTTTTTTGTTTCTTTTCACCTGCCCAAGAGAAATTGAGTAAGAATAAGATCCCATTGAATAACTACAATCCTATGATTTTACATTACACACATCCATTCAGTTGATTTGATATGGGTATATTATAGATTGATGAATTAGGCCCAATTAAAATTTTATTAAAGTATTGTACATAATAATATTTGAAAGGCATCTAATTCGATTACAAATTTTGTTACCCAGCTGTCAATGTCAAATTAAAAAAAAAATAATATTCCTAAACTACATTTGTAGGTACCGGTACCTGGCATGTATGTATGTAAGCATATTCAAAATATATTACATGTGACTGAAGATAATTTGATTTATTTGAAAGATAATTAGTTGAATAATTTCATGAATAACTTATTATAATCAATTAACAATTTATACATAATTCCATTAAAAATAAGCATTGCTGATGTTATGAAATACATGTACTTGTAAAATTATAACTTGATACTAAATCATTCATTTTGTAGGCCAACTGATTATATTTTGGGGGGTCTTAATAAATCTTGTTATCAGAAATAATATTTGAAAGTCTACTAAACAAATTTTACTAGAGCAAAAGCACCAACACAGTAACAAACAGATTTCAATATAGCTGCGGCCTGCGACCATTCAAATGATTGTGTCCCACTTTTAATAAGCACGTTAAGGACAGGTTTAAACTACAGCTGTGATTAGTGAATTACTTTTATGTATATCAAAAGAAAATTGATTCGTTGAAAGTAAATTCTTACCAAGGTCGGGAGTAAAACGTATAGTGTATGGTACATACATTATTAGGTTTTTTTTATGTGTTCTATGACTTCTATGCTAGGGATAGTTACACCCTAAGCTAACTAATTTATAATATCAGAATTTTATGAAACACAGACCTGTATGAAAATAGTATGTTGACATAATTTAACCAAAAAAATAATGTTTTGAAAATAATATTTAAAGATAGGTTAATTTGAAGTTCTTTACATTTGATAAGATTGTAAACTGTTTTATACTGTTCAGAGCTATTTAATATTCAGAATGGTTGAATTAGAAATCTGTAATATTTCATACAAGTGCCAATATGATGGGTCAGGTGGCTTATATGAAATTGTATCCAAAATTGATAGTGTATTTATTTAAAAAAAAATTATTTGGTTAAATGAATTTACATTAAAGTTTTGGAAAATATTGAATTAACAGTCCCAGATTTTTGACGTCATCTGTTGATACAGCTGAGTAAAAGTATGCAAGTAAAAAGTCAAAATGTATAGATATTACGTCTGTGTAATTAAGTAAAAGTTCATTTTGATTCTACATTAATAATACATAAATTAAATAAATATTATTTTAGGAACATAATGTATTGCATTTTATAAAACAAGTTAAAAAAAACCCAATCATTTTTGCCTGTTTCGCTCAAGGAGTAATGATATACATTTACCAGGTTTAATCCTGTCTCACCACACCATTTAGACCTTGTTATTCTTAATGTGGATTCTGTCAGGCCTTACCCTAACAGGCCTAACAGTAATCTTCATTAGCCCAACCTGAGCAGAAAAGTAGGACATTAATAAACCACATTTGACATTTCTTTTGATTTCTTAACAGTAAGTAGTATTACATCCAATGTATCTGTATCAACTTGTACATGTATATTACACTGTGTGTGTATTACTAATTCATGTGTATAGGCAACTTATAAACATATACACTGTGTATTACTAATTATGTACAGTACAGGTACATGTATGGCTAATTGTTTATTAAGTAGATGTTAACATATATGGGTATAGATTTGCCTGTGTATTGAGTATATTAATTTATTACTAGGTTAGGTAAACATGTCAGTTCAATTCAGTTTCTGTTTTAATTAGATTTTTGATCATGGATAATGTGGTGTGAACATTTTGTTGTTTATCTTAAATAAAGTCCCATTTCTTGTTTATGGCTAATTATAACACAGGGTGTAAACAATTCCCTGAATCTTAAACGTACCTGAAGTAGTAGTTGATTAAAAATAGAAATCTGGGAATTATAGTAATCATTTTCCGGAAATAACATCATCGTTAATATAGATTTAAATGTACATATCTGGGCGCTGGCCAAATAACAAGAAGGGTCTCAGTTCGATCCAGGTGTTGGACAAGCAAGATCCTCCGGAATTTCCAGCAGGTTTCCACTTTTTAGTTGTACAGGGTGGCCAGGCTATGAAAATAACATCTAGTTGTTTCAATGGTACAATAAACAGTTGCACCCATGAACTCTATGACGTTCACTGAAAACATGACCTTGATTAAAATCTTTAATAGTTTATGGTCATATTGTTGTGAAACATTGTCATGTACATCTTGAACTAATAAGTGTATCAATTTAATGATAAATCAACTGCATTGGCATTGATAAATTAAAGGGGTGTTATGATTATCCACCGCCATCCCCTCTTTTACCCATGGATACAGCAATCAATTGGTCCCTTTGACCGTAACATGATCACTTCCTGCTTCGACTCTAAACTCTTTCAGAAAAAGGTTCTTTCAAAAAAAGGATGGGTAAGCCCCAGGTTGAAAACGTGTAAACCTAATGGCTATGTTTAATATTGCATAATGACTATAAAGATATAAGGGTAGGCTATTATCATCAATCTTGATAATATAAAGTAATGGTTAATAATAAATGTACATGCCACATAATGTTACTAAACAAGCTGGAGATTATTTTCACATAAATTTCAAATAGAAAACACACTGCATGTATTGAATGCTGAAATGGAAAACTCCATCATGAGATAAAGATGGAAAAGACTCGTTCTTCTTTTGATATTAACACACATGCAAATATTATTTTTTTATAAAAATCAAATTGATATTAAAATGAAGCAGTTTTCACAAATCTGCAGAAAGACTAAAAAAACATTATATAGAGTTATTTCAAAATAGATTCTAAACCAGAATAACCCAGAATAAATTATCTAGTAATTTACATTATGTGATGTATGAAATAGTGATTTACATTATGTGATGTGTGAACCATGACTTATATTAACTAATAATTTGTCCATGAAACATGATAGGTAGGTAGGAGTGGTTTGATAGGTTTTTATTGTAATATCTAATAAAGTGGCATGGCTATACAACCATGAAGCCTTGTCAAACTTTCCCATACTCATAATAAAAGAAAATCTAGTGATCAGTCTGACCTGTTTTCAATTTGTAGGGTATATGAATTATATATTTTCTACTTTATAGTACAAATAAATGTCATGTTATTAGCCAATATTCTTATTTTATTAACTAGACTGTTTGTAATAGGATATTTAATAGCAGCTTATTTCATTTACAGTGTATCAGTTGTTCATTTATTTATATCAAATTATGACTTAAGTGCAAAGCACAAATTTGAGAAATAATATTTTATAATATTTTAGAGGAGTAGGCATTCCCTGTCTTGTGCCTTTCACCTGCCATTTGCAGTTCCGTTACCATTTATTCTTGTCCTCATTAACCAGTGAGTTGGTGTAGAAAAGCAGGACGTTAAAAACCCCATTTCTTTTATTGATGCATCCGTTTGGTTACGGTACTTTTGGTATAAACTCACACATTTGAAGAATTTATAGGAGATTTGCTACATGGAATTTTTGTTGAGTGGATTTCAGAGATATGCTTTTAAATGGTGGGGAGTTGGCAGTTGGGTGGCCGGATGGTTAACATGTGAATGTTGTATAAGAAGGTCTGTCATTGAGTCATGTGGCATGGTTTCAATTCCCCGCTTATACGTGACAAGGAGTAGGGATGCCTGTCAACCTTGTTGGTTTTCTCCGGGTCTTCCAGTTTCCACCCACTGCTAAAGCTCTTACGTGCAAGTGAATTATTGAAATAAAATGGAACCATATATTAGTCCTGAAATGACCTAGTTTGTGTCAAACGGGCTGTTAAACCTCCTTTCTCTCTCCCCCTTCAAATGGTGATTGTGCACTGACAAAATGTTATGCTCCAGTCCAGTGATTCTCAACCAGTGTGCCGTGGCACCCAGTGTGCCGCGAGATCTTCCTAAGTGTGCCGCGAAATTTTGAACTGTACACTAAAAACCACATGATCTCAATTGAGTATTTACTGGTGTTTACTGGTAACTTCATAGATGCGTTTTTCTTTATTTAGTTTCTGTCACTCTATGTGTCCATGACTAGTCCATGTCTACGGTTGTATGCCGTCTATGACTTGTCATGTTTTTATTTTGCAAAATTCAGATATTTTTCATATATATATTTAGCCAATTGTGCCACTATTTTTTCATATGTTCCAAGGTGTGCCGTTGGCAAATAAAGGTTGAGAACCACTGCTCTAGTCTATTGAACATTTTAAACTTATGCGAGGCATATATTAAAAATATCAATAAAAAAAAAGGTAACAGGAAAAAATATCAATCTACATGTATTCAGAACAACATGACAATCACTGAATCTAACAATGTTGTGTGCCTTATATCCAGAGCTTGCTCAGCCCTGCCTTAGTAGTTTATATATTGTTATCAATGTATTGTATTAAAGTACAGAGATCGGTTTCATGAAATTTTATTGTTTTCTTGTATTTTGCAGGTTACAAGATTTAAAAAGACGCAATGTCGTCAACGTGGAACAGTAACTCAGAGAACTCGCATTCAGAAGCTCCGCCCTCAAATGGTAATAATAACAATGATAAAGATATGGAAGATTTACAAGATGCGGAAGGTGTATGGAGTCCTGATATAGAACAAAGTTTTCAAGAAGCATTAGCCATTTATCCTCCATGTGGGCGGAGAAAAATTATTCTTTCTGATGAAGGAAAAATGTATGGTAAGTAATTCAGTTATAGATCAAATTGAATTCCTTTCAATACGGTACTGTGAGAGAGGCAGACAGAAGATCATCAGTCATTTCAGAGGACAGAATTTCTGTTAAAACTTGTACAAAGTTTCAATTTCTGGCCTTCAACTCAAAAGGACAGCAGAGGAAAGAATTTCTCTTACTTCACAAATTTCAATTTTTGGCCTTTTTGAGTAAAAACTTTCAAAATAACAGCAGGGGAAAGACTCTCTCTCAATAAAACTTTCGCAAATTTTCATAATCTGCCTTTCAAGTAAAAAGCTTACTTTCGTACTTTCAACATTTATTATTAAAGAGTAAATCTCCTAGCAACATCCCTTCATCATATCTCATAAAATATAAACCAGCCATTCATCATCTCAAAATAAAAATATCCACTTGTGTGGTCGTATAATTGCATTTTAATATTTTTTCCAATTATTTATATGTGACTTGACACCAGATTGTCTACACTAAATCCTTCCCTAGGTATATTAAGTGCAGATTATCTTGTATGATAAAGAATGTGTCCTAAATTGTAGCCTGCTGTGATAGTTTTATGTTAAAGTGCAATCACTTCCATTTGTCATATTGTTTGCTGGTATATTCAATAATAAAATGTGTTTTTGGATTAGGAATTGATGCTGGTTCCTTGGACAATTATGCATCAATTTGTCAGACTTCCAATATGGCAGCGGTAAAATGTAATTAATGGTTAAGAATTTTGTTCATCAGAAAAAGAATATTTAATTGAACTGCCTATTTTGGTACCTTAATGGAGACTTCAAGTCTATTTACCAAAGACCCCTAAGTGAAGTGGATTATTGAATTAAAATTGTGCCATAGGTTAGTCCCGATATGAGTTTGTGTTGAGTGGACGTTAAACAAATAATTAAGCTACCCATCATGTCACTGACTGACTTGAGGTAATAATTCAGGCTTTATCAGGCCAAATTCTTTCATCAATCATTTTGTTTGGCAGAGATTTGTCTCTTTTATTGATATTTCTAATGCATGTGCAGCAGAATAACTTCAGAGTGCCTTAAATTTTATCAGATGCATGTTAAATTGTTATTTCGAAGCCATCCAGTTGATTTGTTTGCGACTTAACATTATTCTACTTATATTTGCTTGTTTTGTCAAAATTTATGACGTGTCTTGCTGACCCAGGTTTCTGTATTTTGATCAAAAAAAATTTTTTGTTGTTGCTTATTTTCTCCTGAGATACATTGACAGCTGTGATGTGACATGTCTCATGACACTTTTTCAAAATTTTGATTCAAAAGAGTTAGATAAATTTGAGAGGTAGCACCATAATCTGGCTAGAAACCTACACACCTTTTAACTGTTTTTGTCTGGTGTCTTAAAGAAAGTCGACCATTTTGTTTACTAAGTTTTAATTTGCCTCATCTGAACTATAAAAATAGAAATGTCAACAGAAGTAAGCAGGTTTAGAGGCACGAGACACAAGAGCTTTTTAGAAGCCAAAGGTTGAAAATGAAGTAAAAGTCATGTACAAATCTATTATTAATTATCAACTTGGTAAGCTTTGTTTAAGAAAGTGGAGAGAAATGCTGAAGTCAGCTTTTGTTGATTTAGTCAAGTTTGTAAATAAACCCTAGTTGAAAATTTATATGTGTAAACTTTTAGGATGCTGACACTGTTAATTACGTAGTATATATACATGTAAATATTATTTTAATACTTAAAGATGCATTAGGCCAAGAAAATAGGGTTCAAATTTTTGATTTTTTTCATACGATTTGTATTATCTATTTCCTGGCATTTCTAGGTTGATTACTGAGTAGTGTTCCTGAAAATAAGACCGGAGTTACAGTGTTGGAATTTCTCTACAAAAATGCATGCCAAGACTGAGTTATAGGGTCTGGAATATGAGAGAAAAACTTTAGGGTCGGTGTCGACAAAAAAAAAATGATAGTTTAAAAATAGATAATGAAAAATGACCTTAATCTGAGCGAAGTTATTAATGTTTGAAGTTTTGACAAGAAATAGTATGGATTGTCAAGTGCCATGATGTCTCAATGAAGATATGGCAGACATTGGCTAATTCACTCAATATTTCAGTCATCTGATGATCTAGAGAGTTGATTATCGGCTTTTCATCTGAATAAATGTCTACATAATAATTTATATAACATTTGAAGCCTAGAAAGAGAGATTTAATGTCCACTCGATACTAGGGAATTTCGAGACTAAAATATGGTTCAATTTTACTTCAATATTTTGCATGCACGAAGGGATCTTTAGCAATGGGAGGAAACCGGAGGACCCGGAGAAAACACATGAGGTTGGACAGGTGACTTTACTCTTTGTCATCTACAAGCAAGGAATTGAAAGCATGCTACTTGATTCAATGACAGACCTTATGATGCAACGCACACATGTTAACCATTCGACTGAAGCCAGAAGAAAGACCTGCAATGGGCAGATTTAGCTATAACATACATCTTTAATAGTTTCCAGTGAGTTTTTGAATCGAATACGTGTACCAAACTAAAGATCTAATTGTAAACCAAATTTAATACCACCATTGTACCATCTTTTTAAAGAATATACTTGTGCTTATCTTATAAACTTGGTAGAATTGCACCAAGCCAAAGATCTAATTGTAAATCAAATTTAATACCAATATGTTATCTTCTAATCTTAAAGAATACACTTGGTGCTTTATGAATTGGCAGAATGTATGCATTGATTATCTCTACTTTATCTTCACCAATTTTAAAAATTTACAGCAAAAAAAAAGTGTACTAGTACTTTATTTCATTTTGTTTACATTCTTCACAATAAGATACACAAAAGCTACTAGCTGAACACATGATGTAAAATATTGTTACATATATTGATCAACACACTGATGCATATCAAATATTGGTGAATATATTCTGATATATAGTTTGAGATAACTGAATTGCATGTTGCCCAATAGAATGGAACCAAAGATAAACATCTCTCTACCACCTTTTATCATTATGTAGAATAGAGAATAATATCAATTCAAACCAATGTTCCTCTTAATGTACATGTAACAAGCGATAATTATACACAATGTAAAATGGCCTAGTTCAGACATGCTTAGTATTAGGTCATTGCCCTTGTTACCGCAGTAATATATATTGATGCATTGATTGTAATGTAAATATTATTAAAAAAAAAACAACAAGGCATAAAGACTCCCAAGACAGATGACTTAAATGAATATTCTGGTTTTGACTTAAAAATATATAATACAATGTCGGTATTACGGTTCATGATCTCTTTCTTTCCCAATTACTAGAGCAGAGATTTCACAGTTATCATATACCCCCCCCCCCCCCACCACATCCTAGTTATCAAAGAAATTGTTTAAGAGTCAGCGAAGTCTCAACTAATAGCAATTCAGTTGGGAAGAAAAATTTAATATTCATGAAGAAGTATATGAGAAAGTGTGCAGCAGTGGCTCTGTAAGGCGCTGGCCTGTTAATCAGGAAATCTCCAGTACTTTTTTAGGTTGGTTTCCCTTTGCTTGTCAGTGTTGCAGGATGTAGGGCCTAGTAGGGAACAGTGTCTAGTCATTTGGATAAGACACAAAACCAATGAACCATGCTGTCCGGGCAAAATTTCCCTCATAGCACATTGCACAGAGATGTTCGTCTTCATTAGTCTAATTGGAGCAGAATATTAGGACTTTAAACCCCATTTCGATTCCCCACTTGTGTGTGACAAGGAGTACGGTTGTCTGTCCAACCTCATGCATTTTCACCCAGTCCTCTCGTTTCCTCCCACAGCTGAAAAACTACACGCAAACGGATTATTGAAATAAAATTGAACCATATTATGTTAGTCCTGAAAGGGCCTAGTTTATATCGAGTAGACATTAAACCCCATTTCTCTCTCTCTCTCTCATATTTGAATTCACTACTGCTGTTTAAGGTCTGTATATGTGTGTGTATATATCGTATAACAATGAAATTGATTGAAAATAGTTTATATTGATCAGTTCATTGAAAACATGGTTACACATAATAAAATATTGATGCATTTGATTAATGTGCCTCATTTATAAGCTACAAGTTATATTTAGACTTTTAAATTACTAGCAATTATAGATTCCACGAGGACCACTACTCCTATTAGTCTACGAACTTGACTGATTTACAAACAATTAGATGCATTATGGTTCTAATGGAAACTAATCAGCCATATTTTTACTTTACTCTACTTATATTAGCAATTATTTCCGCAATGGCTCAGTGAGTAAGGCACTGGCTCACTTACCAGGAAGACAATGGTTAAATCCTGGTGTTGGTCGAGAAAGTTCATCCGGATTTTCATTAGCCCAGTCAGTGCAGAAAAGTAGGATGTTAAACCCCATTTCATTTCCTATTGTCTCACTATGTTTTGTTTTCATATTTTATATCCTAATAATAATCAGTTAAATAAGTCAGTGTTATAATTGAGAATGTGGTTTATTATAGCTAAGGCCAAACTAATTTAATTTTCTGTTCTTCATTTCAAAACTTACAAATTTGAAACTAAAAGCTTTCGAACAGTGCTACCAAGTACTTTTGGTTTTTACATTAGTCTTTTTGCCCAAAGGAATAAGAAGAAAATTTTAACAGGTGTTCTGGAAAATCAAATTGGTGTGGCCTAAGAATGAATAACTAATGATGCAATGCAAAGTCAAAGTAGTATTTTTATTTTGTTGTAAATGCAAGAAGAAAGACTGCGTGTATGTGTGTGTTGAATAATGAATGCCATGATCAAACCTCTAGATTGAACACTTCAGTTGTCAAAGTAGAAAAGCTTTTGATGTAGAGTTACAGTACCGTACCAATTTAATTTGTTAAAACATCTCAAAGACCTCACATTCATAGACTTGATTCTGCAATGCTGCATATCTTTTACAGAAGAATAATGCTTTGGTATTAAATATTGTTGTTGTTTGAGGGTTTTTTTTTTTTTTATTCTTCTTTGCTTTCCCCTTTATT